GCTTCTGAATCATTCCCATGGCTTTGAGGCGTTTTGAAATGGCTTGTTGAGTCACTCCCAATGATCGTGCCAATTCTTCTTGATTTTGACACGAGTCTTGCTCAAGTAATGCCTCCAATTCTGCATCTTCGAAAACTTCTCTTCCACCGCTATGCCGGTCTTCGACGTCAAAATCACCGTTCTTGAAGCGTTGAAACCACTCACGACACGTTCTTCTCTAATAGCGGCCTCACCATAAGTATTTGAGAGCATTCGATGAGCCTCAGCCGCAGATTTCTTCATATTGAAGCAAAAAATTAAAACCTCCCGCAAATGACGAGAATTTGGCTCGTAAACTGATATTTTCAATCGAGAATAACTTTATGATGCAGACACAAATCGACTAATGTTTCTATGGGGTTATGTTGACAGATGCCCAAGTTTATTGTATGACGTCTATGATCTATTTATTTCGATCACCACTTACCGCTAAAGCTATCTATAGTAAAACGGCGGAAGCAAAGTTGTACACCTAATATATATATATATATTGGGAATATAAATTAATTCGGTCCGTTTCCCTAAAGATGGCTCCAGCTGTTGAATGATTCATAATGACAGCTAATTTTGGCGGTTTCAGAGAAGTTAAACATCTGCTAATAATATTCAGTTTATATCGCTTTGAATTTCATACAAAAACCTTGATTTTTTACTGTGTTTGAAATGTCGAATTTTGTGTTAACCAAGCAGCATTTGCGGGAGATTTTGATTTTCTGCTTTAATTGGAAGAAAAGTGCGACTGAAGCTCATTGAATGCTGGTTGAAATTTATGGTGACACTGCTTCAACTAATAAATCATGTAGGGAATGGTTTCGACGTTTCAAGGATGGAGATTTCGATCAGCGTTGAAGACAAGCCTTGCTCTGGAGAACCAAAAAAATTCGAAGACAAAGAATTAGAGGCATTACTCGAAGAAGATCAAAGTCAAACGCAAGAGGAGCTTGCAGAATCATTGGGAGTAACTCAACAAGCCGTTTTTGTATGATTGAGAGTCATAGGAATGATTCAAAAACAAGGAAATTGGTCAAAAACAAGGAAACTGAAACTGAAAGGCAATTTTTCACTTGAACAGCTGATTCAAAGACAACAGAGAAAAGGTTTTTTGTATCGGATTGTGACTGGAGATGAGAAGTGGATATTCTATGACAATCCCAAGAAGAAAAAATACTACGCTAAGCCTGATCAATCGTTACCATCGACCTCAACATCAATCATGGCTGAACATTCATGGTTCGAAGATCATGCTTTGTATCTGGTGGGACTAAAAAGGTCTTGTTTACTATGAACTGCTGAAACCTGGCGATTCTATTACGGGCGATCAGTATCGGCTACAATTGATTCGTTTGAGCCGTGCATTGCGAGAAAAACGGCCGGAATACGAGCAAAGACATGATAAAGTTATTCTTTTTCATGACAACGCTCAGCCTTATATCGCTAAAGTCATAAAAAAATATTTGGAAACACCCAAATGGGATGTACCCGCCGTATTCTCCGGACATTGCTCCTTCTGATTACTGGTTGTTCCGAAGGATGCAACAAGTCACCGGTTCAGTTCTTTCGCAGAAATCGAAAATTTGCTCCAAAATTGGATCGCCTCCAAAGACGAGTCATTTTTTTGAAATGGAATTCGAAAATTGCCTGAGAGATGGGAAAAAGTAGTAGGCAGCGATGGACAATACTTTAATTGATCTGTTCATTCATTTTGTTTTGAAATAAAGGCATTTTTGAACGGACCGAACTAATTTGAATTCCCAATATATATATATATATATATATACTAATTACTGGATCTTACCGTGAAGATTTTTTCGTATTCCCTTGGAAGACTAACTAGTTTCGGCACATGCCATGATATATGTTGTTCCATTATCAGATTTCGAGCTGGTTGATGGCCACGCCAATTAGCGAGAAATGCGATCAACTGATCGCACCAGAAGAGCGGCACCGACACGCCCGTTTCTGGTTCCTGCCAATTTAACGCTACTGTTGAATCGAAGCTGTCCCAGCTCATGCCTTCCGTGACTAGCTCCAGATAATATACCAGTCTCACAAACTCGCTCTGTTGTGTTCTGATCAGTGGCAGCGACTGCTCGTATAGATGATAACGTAACAATGCCGCTACTCGCAGAAATGGTAAGCACAATGATTGGATCTGAATAATCAAATAACAAATCAAATTATTAAATAGCAAATGTAGAAATAATAAAAATGTATATCTGTATTATTTCATCAAAGAATTATACTGAAATATTTAAAGTATTTTTAATATGAGGAAGTTTTTTTTAGAAATAATCTATTGTTTACGCCAAACGATATAAATTATATATCTGCTGCCAAAGTATCATTTAAATATTGAATATTATGAGACATACAAAGCGTGATTACTCCGAAAAGTTAATTAAAAAAATATTTAGATATAAAAAAAGCTCTATTCTATTTATGGAACATACTTGCTGCTCAATGCAATGCGATTTCATTCTGGCATAAGTGGGAGAGGTTGAAGTAGACGGTTTATTGTCATCCGTGCCAGGATAGAGCCCGCTTTCGCTAAAATACTCGATAATCTCGGCCAGTATAGTTTCCGAGGGCGTAGTAGCGCAGCTGCATCTTTTCTTTAGAATCATGTTTCGCTCTTCTCGTGAGAAGTTACAACTTACTTGTAGTATTACTTGATAGTACAGCAAGTTGTAAAGAACTTTTACCACGCCAGAAAAGTATGCTGTGGAAGAAGAGGAATATTAATTCTTGTTACTCACATATATTCAAATAAATGTGTCTTAAATATGCGCCTTTACGCCATAATTTACTTCGACATAAAAAATGCAAAAAAATTTTTAGAACTTGCGTACTTTGATCCAAGTGCAACGGCAACAGCAATATGAATTGAATGAGCATGGCGGTCGGATCTCGCAGAAGCAGAGGAACCTGTCTCTCATGTGGTGTCAAGGCGAGCGAGGACGTCGATTCCTCCATCAATGATATGCCAGATAGTTGTTGCCATACATGATGCACTGGCCACGTGGTCAGTACCCGAGCATGCATCGCCAAAACATGAAGAAGCGCGACTGAAAAAAAAAAACATATTTTTCTAATCTTCATATCTATAGATTAATATCATCCAGATACTAATTATTACATATTACATATAATAAATAAATAGAAGGCAAAAGAGAAGCTAGATTGATATAAATTGATATTAAGAATATACCTATACAATCACGTTTAGGCATCAGAGGTATTGTAGTAGGTGGCGCAATGCATAACGAACCACCACGTTGTACAAGTTCAATCTCAAAATTAGTTCGAGCTACCGAAGTTACAAAAAGGAACAAGCTTTGGTGACTAGGTTTACAGTTCTTTTGCTTATATTTTAGATACGTGCAACTCGTCATATCTTCCATGGCTTTTCCCATTGCCACAGACAGATTTGAAGACACCTGGAATCGAAATATATTCAGCATAAATGATATATATCCTTGATATATCTTAAATAAAATATATAAGAATGTTAGCTAAGTTTAATCTTTTAACGCTAATATTAATGTTGCACGTAAAAATACAATGAATATATACTAAAATATAAATAATATAAATAATATTAAATAAAATAAGTTATTATATACGTACAGGATTTCGTTGTATCTCTTTGAGAAAAGTATTTAGATCCGCGAGTATGGTCGCTGTAGAAGCATGACGAGATCGCACCACCGCCGAGCATTCACCCAATTGTGGCGACAGCGGTAAAACAGAATTAGCTAATTGTCGGCACAGCGGACACAAGTATTCGCCCCGTTCCACCGCCAGACTTTGCTGCCGTTGTTGACTACGAAGGGACTCTAGATAAGATTTTAAACAATCGAGATGTAAATGATGGCCACACGTTTGCACATGAACACCACCTTCCCATCCTATATTAACCGAGAGTAGCCAAGACAACTGCAAAATAAAAATATTATTTAATGTTAAGATATGTATGTTTATTTTTTTCACCTGTTTGTAAAGATATATTTTATAAAACAAATATCTTATTAACCATTTAATATTAATATACTTCGACTAAAAATAAATATAATAAAAATACAATACGGAAATAAGAATAATCAACATTTTTTTAGCATGGCACTTTTCAAAACGATTCGGGATGTAGTGATATAATAGTAAATATGCATAAACAAACTATAAGCTTCATTTTTTCTTATTAAACGAACAAATTTGGTTAAAGTCTCCATATATCTTTATCTTTTTCTTCAGAAAATATAAATTCATGTTTCTTTGTGCCCGTTCAGAAGTCTGTCCAGATTTTAGTCAAATTTTGATGTACATATGCTATTATTACTTACTGCTTAAATTGTAATCAACTTAAATATCTAGTCCCAAGCGCATTATTCAATAGAATCGATCGTCAAACTTCTACAATACTGTTGTTGTATTAGTTATGGAGAAAACAGCAAAATAGAAAATATTCTTTGAAAGAAAGAATCGTAAAAAATGTATACAGTACACACATTGTAAGTAAATATATTAGTATATTGTTCACTTACTGTGTCAAATAAACGATTCATCTCGTCCATTCTGCGGTCAAAATGAGCACCTCGGGTATCTCCTTTAGGTATAGGTGGATCTTCATCGGACGTGGGAAGAATCAGTCTATCCGATTGTTGTCGTTCGTGGCCAATAATGCTAGTTGCCTACATCGAGAAAACATATATATATATATATA